CCGGGCTCGGCCGGCGGCGGTAAAGTTGTGACCGGCCGGCGAGGCGCGCTCGCGGAATGGGGATTAGCGGAGCGGAGGCGCGGGTCCCTAAGCACCCCTCCTCCCCCGCGCCTCCGACCACCGCGCCCTGGACCCCCGGCTGGGGACGCCGAGGCGAGCCCCGCGAGTGAGGTCCACTTTCAGTGGGGAGCTGGCGGGGCGGCAGGGGAGACGGGGCAGGAGCGGGCACCTACTTGCTGCTGTGGGAGATCTGTGGATGGCGGCGAGCTGGGCAGCGGGTGTGTTTGTGGAGTTGTTACCTGGTCTTAGAGACAGGGAAGCACCACAGACAGATCCCCCCTCCCCGGGGGAAACTCCTTCTCCGCGCTGGGATGGGGTTCTGTGCGTATGCCTCTCATTTTTCTCTTTCGGTTTTTGGGGAAGTTGTTACCTGGGCCGGACGCACGGAGCGCTGAAGCCGGATAATGGAGCTTGGATGGCGCTCTCGGTCTCGGGTGGAAGGAGGGTGGGGGAGGGGGCAGACGGACCGACGGACGCACGGGTCTGCTGCTCTCGCTGCAGCTGCAGTGTTTATTGATTTGTGCTGGTGTGCCGGGGCAATACACACCCCTCTGCCTGGCGTGAGAGTTTAAAAAAAAAAAAAAATAGAGACAGCAAGAGAGAGCGAGACCCGAACATGTGGTTGTTGTTGCACAGTCGCCTTTTCCAGTTTGGAGAGACGTTGTAAGTTGATGGTATTTCTCTTATCTTGGGGGCGATTCTGTGCTTTCTCTCCCTCTTGTTCAGCAGCGAAATGTCTGCTGATTGTTATTGTCTGGACAGTTCCTGTGGCGAAAGGGGCGAGACTTCTCCGCCCGGGGGCGGCGGGAGCGCGGGGCGAGGTCCCCCGCCCGCGCCGGCCGGGTACCTGTTTGTATAATAATGGGCGGCAACGGCCCTGCCGCTGGCTGCAGCCGAGTCTATATAAGGAATTACATGTACATTTCGGACCGAGGGGTTCGTTTTGGTTCCTACGTTATTTTTAAAACGACTTTTTAACTGTAGGGAAATAAATGCGCCTATAATGGGATTGCTGTTTCTTCCAGAAAATGAGGAAATACGTGTTTAAGTAAAAACTCTCTCGTGCTCCCCCGCCCCACCCCCGCTCCTGGGCTCCCTTTCTCCCTCCCCTCTGGGATGCGAAACGCGAGGTTTTGTAACCTTTCCTGGCAATTTTAGATTTTGTGTGGGATTTCCTGTCTAGAAGCAGATACGAAGATTTTAAGCTGTTTCAAGATGTTTCCTTCCAATCGTAAAAATATTTTTAATATATTTGAGCCGACATTAAAATCACTGCTTTCATGAATGATTTTAGTTATTCAAATAAACATTTGCGTTTTAAAGACGTCTGTTAGTTATGATTGATAACTAGTATTTGGTATCGTCATTGTGGAGAGATGACTTGTTACAGCAAGGAGCGGAGCATAGGCTATTGCAATTTTAATTTCCTGTTTTAGCGTCAAATAGTGTGCTATATTGAGCTGTTGCCACTGTTGCTGATGTGGCTTTATGAAAGGTAAGTTGGTTCGGAAAGGGCTGCTCGCTCTTTACCTTATTTAAAATGTTCATCGCCAGAGAAAGGGGCTTTTCTTGTTGCTGACGACATGTGTGTGACATGTGAGTCTGAACCACCCAGCGTCTGTGCAGCTGCTGTAAACATGTTTACCTGAACAGGAAAGAATGGATTTTTCTCCTAAAGATCCTGTGATATGAATATTACACTCATAAGGCATATCAACAGATGACTTAAGGGGAAAAAAAAGCTATCCTGAAAGGTACTTGAAATCAACAGGAAAAAGAGGTTCTCGATCGCTGCAGCAAATGGCAACTTGTGCAGGTAGAAAAAAGATGGTGTTTAGTTTTCTCCTGCATGTATGTCAGCCCCCTCCTGTCTGCTGCTTTCATTCTCAAGGGAGGGATTTATTTACCACGCTTGCTGTCAGTGTTTTTCCTTTGTGTTTAATATTAGAAAAACAGATTTGGGCTGTTTAGCACAAAATGTCTTGTCTGCAGTAGGCATTACTCTCAGAAAACAAAAGGTGTTTAAGATAGCACCGTACCACTACAGGTATCTTCCATTTTCATCACTTTTGGCTCTGTCCTTGTATTTCTTTTTGTTCTCAAATGCATTTCATCCATTGCCAATGATTACAGCCGTGCTATTTGATTAAGCCTTATAATTTGCAAATTAAAAATGAAGTTATATGCCATTGTGTTGTGAAACCTCAGAATAGGTGCTGGTTAATATTTCTTAGCAACGCAGTCATATTTAAGTTGCAGTTGTTTATTGGAGAGAATTGCATGAAAAATGTTAACTCTTAAATCTTTTTAATGAGGGAATAAATGATATGTACAGTGGGTGATAGAGATATTTTATGTTGTTATTTATATGTAAGTAATTTTTTTGTTCATTTAAAAATAAGATATATAGATTTTATTGCTAGGCCTCCAGTAAAACATTTTAATTTCCTTTCTGGAATATATCTGCAGAGTAGGATATTAGTGGGAGAATCAAGTAATGTAACTTGACATGAGTAAACCAATTGAGCAAGGCTTGGCCAAAGCATCAAACATTAGATAGTAACTTTATGGTGATGATGTTAGTCATCTATAAAGCAGTGGCATTAGAATTGCATAAAATCGATTTTTACCATTTGTAATATAATGCTTTGTTTGTTGTATTTTAAAAATATGTCTTCTAATTTTCCACTTCTACTCTGTGGTTTTCGGATGTACGTATGTATGCATTTTGGAGGTGGGGGAGAGAAATGTGCTGTAGCTACTAATGACCACATGCTGATTAATTCACTTTGGATGGAATAGGAGGTACATATTTTTCTGTCATTTGCACCATTTCCACTTGCTGTCTTTGGAAACCGCCAGTAGAGGATGCTAACAAAAATGATTATTGGTGTAGTAGCACCATAAGTCTATCTCCTGTTGATTGGGACCTCTGCATTAATAGGGACCTTTGGTGTAATTCTGGATCTTAGTGTTACTTAAAACTAGCCCTGGGTAAATTAGGCATAAGCATTTTCTAGTCTGCTAGTCTGCTTAGATGGAAAGAAGTAGAAATGTTTTAACTTGAACAATTTTATAAATATGAGCTTTTTAAATACTGAGATTGATATTGCTATCCATTCAGTCTTGCTTTAGACCATATGTATTACTGCTTTTTTTTTTTTTTAAGTTTTTATGTTATTAGGTTTGGAAAAGATATGTGATGATTGGCCTGTATTTATTTTGCATATTTTCTATACTTTTTAACCTTTTTTATTCATTGTAGGATTTCCTGAAAACATATTTTATTTTATTTTTTTAAAACATATATTTTAGGTGTTAAAATTTGTAAACTGTTAAATATGGTTAAGAAAAATTGCAATTAATTGATTGTTAATACTTTCTAATTATATTCCCATAACTTGTGTAAACTTAAACTATATATGGGTTGGGCAGACAACAACTAAAGAAAGTGTTAACCAGCAGTCACTCAGATGTTAGTGATTTTTAGATTTTGTCTTTTCTTTTCTCTTCTGATTCAGAATTAAGTTAAGAATCAGAATAAGATAGTGTGTAAACTTTACATTTATCAATTGTAAATTAAGAAATATAAGTTTGCTCTGATGTTTTAAATGCAGCAAAAAAGTGTCTTTAGTTTGATAATTATTGTATGTTTGTATTCATTAATTCTTTTCAAACTGTGTAAATTGGTAATGTAACTTTGACATATAAATAATTGCATGAGACTTGATGTATTCAGTAATATCTTTTTGGTGTGTGTCCATATAATTATATTAATATAACTTTTGGAAGGCTTTTATTAGGTCAAATGTTAGAAATATTTATTTCCCTAATTATTTTTAATGGTGTTTCTATAAATGCAACAACAGCAGTATCATAATGCAATAGTAATACTGTTTATCTTGAATTAAGTAGGAATTACCTGAATTACCAGGTAAGCCTGTGTGAATTTCTCATTTTAGGGTGTCACGGTTTTTCAAGAGTATGTGTTATGTGTGTGCGTGTATGTGTGTGTGTGTGTAAATACAGTTTTACATTTCCTGACAGATGTTTCTTGAATTTGGTGTTCATCTAATTCTTAGAGCTCAGTAGTAAATAGGTGTGATTCACTTACTACTTTTATGAACTGGGGAAGTTTACCACAAAGCCATAACATATACAATTGTGGCATGGAGCAAAACTTAAATTATCTTATAAATTGAAAGCATCAATCATTTGTTAAGATGAGCCTTATGTAAAAGCATATGGAATATTTCGGGGTTTTTTTCTTTCTTTCGTTTATAGTATTT